TTTTGCCTTTCCCTTCCCGAGGCAACACGGGACTGGAGCCGCGCGGAGCTGCGCCGGCGGTAGCAACTCCTGACAGCCCCAGCCGGATACCTGAGCGGAGCCCGGGCGGTGCGAGCGGAGCCCGGGCGGTGCGAGCGGAGCCCGGGCGGTGCGAGCGGAGCCCGGGCGGTGCGAGCGGAGCCCGCTGAGCGGCAGGAAAAGGGAGCTGGGCAGTGATTTCTTGGCGCGCGGTGGGGGGGGTCTCTTTTGGCCGGCCCCGATTTTTTTTTCAGAGGGGAATATCATGCCTGCCTGGTGAAGGATCTTGGAAAGTTTTCAGAACTACCCAGTACTTTCAATTCATTGAAAGTATTTAAGATTCCTGCCTTTAGCACTAAGGCATGATGCAAAAAAGCTACTGTCTTTGAAACAATTGCATTTTTATTGCATCCTTCTGAATTTTCAGAGTAGTATGCATGGTTCATTATTTTACTCTATGGTTGTTATTTGGATCCTTGTCAGTGTTTGTACTCATAAGGATTTGGAGCTCATAATCTCGGCAACGCAGTTGTAGCAACTGTTTTCATATCTACAATCAAGTTCTTAAAGCAATGTAATTGAAACAGCCATGCAAACAAATACTTCACATTTTGAAATCTTCATAAAATTGAGTAGTGGACATTGATTATCTGGACACCTTACATTGTACACATTAATAGAGAAACCAGTACTCCTCTCCTGATTCCCCATTCTAGTTTGGGGCATTGTATACTTCAAAATATAATTTATCTTTTGTACCGTTGAGATGAACATGAATTTGGGCAAACTCCTGGAGGCAGTGGAGAACAGGGGGGGGCTGGTGTGATATAGTCCATGGGGTCAAGAAGAGTCGGACATGACTTGGAGACTGAACAACAATAACAACCATTGAGATATGTCAAATCCCAAAATCTACTGGTAGGAAATTAGTGAAGCCATCTAAGGAAAGCCTTAGATGGCTATGTGGATGGCCCCATATTTTGGGAAGGAATATTGAATGGACCATTATGAACATGGAAAAACTGACAGTGTGTCTCTGTTTTGTGGTTTTTTTTGCAGGTGGGGCAAGGTTACCCACATGACCCACCCAAAGTCAAATGTGAGACTATGGTATATCACCCAAACATAGATTTAGAAGGCAATGTTTGCCTAAATATCCTCAGGTACAAAGCATGTTATGTTGTTCTAATACAGGTAGTCCTTGAGTTACGACCACAATTGAGCCCAAAGTTTATGTTGCTAAGTGAAACATTTTTAATGTGAATTTGCCCCATTTTACAACTTTTCTTGCCACAGTTGTTAAGTGAATAATTGCATTTGTTAGTAACTTGGTTGTTAAGTGAATCTGGATTCCCCACTGACTTTGCTTGTCAGAAGATTGCAAGAGGGGATCATGTGACCCCAGGACACTGCAACCATCATAAATATGAACCACTTGCCAAGCATCTGAATTTTGATTATGTGATTAGGGGGATGCTGCAACAGTTGTGTGAAAACCAGTCATAAATCACTTTTTTCAATGCCATTGTAACTTTGAATGGTCACTAAATGAACTGTTGTAAGTTGAGGACTACCTGTACATTCTCTTTTCATTCCTATTATTTTCTTCCTTGCAGGTTTAGAGGAAGTTTTAAGAACAAATATTGTTCTTAAAGTATCAAACAACTTATAAAATATTTTGTTTTTGAAGTGAGTGAAATGCTTGTATAAACATGTACTCACTGACTGCTCAACTACATTTACTGAATAAAGCATGATCACAGATCATAGAAAATAAGGAGCAGGCAAACCTTTGCCTATGAATTCTTTCTCTGTGGCCCCCAGAGTCTCCTTTGACCATTGCTGAAAATTGGTGGCACAGTTTCTTACCATCTTAAGACAAAGACATAAAACTTTACTGCAAGTCCTACATTTTACCACAATTTAATTAACTAACAATCTTTCCAAACCAAAGAAAAAATTAGCACCACCCACTTTGCATCACTGCCCATCCATTGTGGCCCTTGGTTTGCACACAAAATGTTAAGTGTGACTGCCAGGTTTCAATAATTGTTGACTTCTGTGCCAAGCCATGAATATGTTGGTTGTATTCATGTAACACAGACAAAACCAAACAGTCCATTATAGTTTTGTGTTTATGAATCTAGCTACACTAAGGAGTGGAAGAGAGCCTGCAGCAATCATGCCAAACCTGGTGCCCTCAGGATCTATTGAACTGGAACTGCCCTCAGCCATAGACAGTATGGATTAGGGAAGGCAGTCTTCCATTCTAGTGGGTGTATTTCTCAACACTGTTGACTTTAAGTATTTGGAATGTTGAACATATTTCTGTTTTGTTTTGGGTTTTTAAAAAATCCTGTTATGCCTTCATAAATTAAAAGGGCAATAAGGAAAAAAAATCCTGAAAGAGGCTTGTCAATAATTTTAGTTTTGGGGTATTGCCAGTGGGACCATAAGAATGTAATTAAAATGTCTTATATTTCAAAGGTCTGATTCTAAGAACTGTTGACTTCATTTTTTTAAGGATTTGGGATATTAAACATATTTCAGTTTGGATCAATCTTCATAAAGCTTTTTTTAACAATGTGAATCTACAACAAGATTACTTTGTTATTTTTAGTTGGGTAAACTTTCCTGACCCTGTGCTCATTTTTTTTTCATTATTTTTCTGGCCCACAGAGAGGACTGGAAGCCTGTACTAACAATAAACTCTATAATTTATGGCCTGCAGTATCTCTTCCTGGTAAGTATATGTGGAAAGAAGGTGTCAAGCCATGGCATTAAGGCTGGAGCACTATCTTCTTTCTCAGTCTGAGCAGGAAGAATGAATGTAAGATTGGGGGAGAAATGATACAGAAGGCAAAGCACAGTGGGCTCCTGAGGAATCTAGTATACTGGGTTAGAGGGATAGTGAATGAAATAAAAGTAAGTTTGTGTCATTACATTTTGGGAAGATATGTCTGATGTGCTGTCTACCAGTTGGAATGGGAATTTGCCTGTACACAAGACTGTACTTGATAATATCTGCAAAAACTGTTAGAAAACTTTATAGGGTGTGGCTAATGTGAGAATGTTTGCATTTAAGTAAAGTGATTTATATAAGTTTTTAGCTTTCGAATACTATTGTTTCCTAAAGAAACTGACTACTCACAATTAATAGTAATAGCACGTTGACTTATATACTGCTCCATAATGTTTTACAGCACTCTGAGCAGTTGTCATGCCCTTGTTGGAGTCTGATTCTGAGGGGGAGATTGAGCAGCTGACAGGGAGTGGGAGTGTGGCTCTGGTGACTGTGGAAGAAACGGGGGAAGGGCACAGTCCGGCTGGGCATTCAGAGGAAGAGGAAGCATTCAAAGTCTGGGGAACAAACAGGGTGGATTCGAACTACGAATACATGAAGGTAGATATGACATAGCTGGAATAACAGAAACTTGGTGGGATGAAACCCATGATTGGAACATACTGGTAGAAGGATACAAACTCTTCAAAAAAACCAGACCCCATAAAAGAAGAGGTGGAGTTGCACTGTATGTAAAGGACCACTATATTGCTACAGAAATGCATGAAACCAAAGATCAAAACCTCCTAGAATGCATATGGGTCAATATAAAAGAAAAAAAGAATGACATGGCCATAGGTGTGTATTATAGGCCACCCAATCAAGCAGAAAAAAGAGATGTCCTTTTTGCCAACCAACTAACAAAACATATGCAGGAAACACACAACAATAGTAATGGGGGACTTCAATTATCCTGATATCAATTGGAAAACTAATTCTGCACCAAGTGAGAAATCAAATAAGTTCCTAACCAACCTAGCTGACAACTTTGTTGTCCAAAAGGTAGAGGGTGAAACTAGAGGGACAGTCATACTGGACTTAATTCTTACAAACAGAGAAGAAGTGATAGAGGGAGTTGAAACTGCAGGAACCTTGGGTGAGAGTGACCATGTCATACTAGAATTCAACATAACACAAACACAAGCAACAGAACATAATGACACCAGAGTCTTGGATTTTAAAAGAGCTGATTTTAATAAACTCAGAGAGAACTTGGGAAAGATTCCATGGATGAAAATCCTAAAGGGGAAAACAACTCAAGAATCTTGGGAAACTCTGAAAAGTACGGTCATAGAAGCCCAGACTAGCACAATTCCACTGAGAAAGAAAAACAAGAAATCCAAGAAGAAACCAGCATGGCTGCACAAAGATCTCTCTGGCAAATTGGAAAAAAAAAGGACAAGTACAAAAAATGGAAAGAAGGACACACAACTAAGGCAGAATATCAGCAGATAGCCAGAATCTGCAAAGACAAAGTCAGGAAAGCAAAGGCTCAGAACGAACAAAGACTTGCAACAAAAGTCAAAGATAATAAAAGAGTTTCTTCCAACATATAAATAACAAGAAAAAAATCAAGGAAACAGTCGGTCCACTAAAGAGGGAAGACGGCAAGGAAGTAACATGCAACAGAGAGAAAGCAGAACTGCTTAACTCATTCTTTGCATCGGTCTTCACGCAAAAAGAAACTATAGCTCAACCCACCAAAAACGTAACTGTAAAAGACAGACCAGAAATAAAAGTTAAAATAAGCAAAAAAAATAGTAAAAGAACACCTGTCTGATCTTGATGAACACAAATCACCGGGGCCTGATGGATTACATCCCAGAGTTCTAAAGGAACTGGCAGAGGTCATCTCAGAACCACTACACCATATCTTTCAAAAATCCTGGAGCACCGGGGAACTACCAGAAGACTGGAAAAGAGCTGATGTGGTTCTCATCTTCAAAAAAGGAAAAAAAAAACAGACCCAGGAAACTATAGACCAATCAGCCAAACATCAATACCCGGGAAGATACTGGAAAAGATAATTAAAAAACAGATCTGCCAACTACTAGAATAAAGTAAAGTAATAACTAGCAGTCAGCACGGGTTTGTTAAAAACAGATCATGCCAAACCAGTCTTATTTCATTCTTCAACATATTGACTAAATTAGTAGACTAGCAAAATATTGTGGACGTAATATATTTAGATTTAAGCAAGACATTTGACAAAGTAGACCACAACCTACTTCTTAGTAAGCAAGAAAAAAGTGGAATAGATAGCACCACCACGAGATGGACTCGCAACTGGCTAAACATACTGTACTCAACGAGTAGTCCTTAATGGGTTTAAGTCTACATGGAGGGAAGTAAGCAGTGGGGTGCCACAAGGTTCTGTCTTAGGCCCAGTACTCTTCAATATCTTCATTAAGGACTTAGATGAGGGAATAGAAGGGGAACTTACCAAATTTACAGACGATACTAAGCTGGCAGGAATAGCTAACACCAAGAAGATAGGCTCAAGATCCAGATGGATCTTGACAGACTAGAACACTGGGCCATATCTAACAAAATGAAATTCAATGTAGAGAAAAGTAAAGTCCTACACTTAGGCAAGAAAAACCAAAAGTACACATATAGACTGGGTGAAACCAGGCTCAATAGCAGTAACTATGAGAGGGTTCTTGGAGTCTTAGTGGACAACCAGCTAAATATGAGCCAGCAGTGTGCAGCAGCAGCCAAAAAAGCTAATGCAATCCTAAATTGCATTAACAGAGGGATACAATCAAGATCAAGGGAAGTACTAATACCACTCTATAAAGCCTTAGTAAGACCACACCTAGAGTACTGCATCCAGTTCTGTTCATCACATTACAAAAAAGATGTTGAGACTCTAGAAAAAGTACAGAGAAGAGCAACCAGGATGATTAGGGGACTGGAGGCTAAAACATACAACGAACGGTTGCAGGAACTGGGCTTGGCTAGTCTAGTAAAGAGAAGGACCAGGGGAGACATGATAGCAGTCTTCTAATATTTGAGGGGCTGCCACAGAAAGGAAGGGGTCAAGCTATTTTCTAAAGCACCTGTAGGCCAGACAAGGAATAATGGATGGCAACTGAACAAGGAGAGATTTAACCTGGAAATAAGGAGAAACTTTCTGACACTGAGAACAATCAACCAATGGAACAGCTTGCCCTCGGAAGTTGTGGGAGCACCATCCTTGAGACTTTCAAGAAGAGATTGAACTGCCATTTGTCAGAAATGGTGTAGGGTCTCCCACTTGGGCGGGGGGTTGGACTAGATGACCTATAAGTCCCTTCCAACTCTGATTATCTGTTAAAATCTGTTAAATCTCTTCTGCCGCTGTAGCCGAAGCTGGCAGTAACTTTGGGGCTGTATAGGCTGCTGTTTGGACTAAGCCAGTGAGCTAGCCTCTAATACCTTGTGGGCTTCTTTTTTTTTTTTTTGAAACAAATTTTATTAATTTTTAAAGACAAACAAAACATAAACCTTGTGGCTATTCTGTCTCAGTATTTTTCCATAAGACAAATCCTGCTCAGCACGTATACCTCTCAGAGCAAAGTTCACTAAGCTGACAGGAAAAGAACTGACAGGAAGAAGCTAAAGTTGATAAGATTAACTTCACAGAGGTCTGTGTCAGATAAAAGAAAAACATGTTTATCAGTCAGAAAATTCGTTACTTGTATCATGTAGCCTGGACTCAAAGATAAAGTTTGTAACTTCTTTGTCTTTCTGTAATCCCTCACCCCCCTTCTTTGATTCAGCACAATAAAAGAGGACAGCGTAGAGCAAGCTGGCAGCCTGAACAATCCATCTGTCTCAGGCTCAACTGGGACAATTCCATCTGCCCCAGGCGATGCGCTGTCTCACCTAAAGATATCTTCGTCTTGTGTTCTTTTTTCTTTTCGCTTTTGCAATCATTTTTAAACTTACCCTGGATAGGGTCCTGCTTTTGCCAAACTTCGCCCTTGCGAGGGCTTCTCTGTATCTCACCCTTGCGAGGGTCCCGTTCTGAGAGGAATTCAGCAATCAACCAGAAGATCGAAACAACAGACCGGTCGCTCAACGCGACACCTTGTAGACATTAAACCTCTTTCCCTTGTAAATTTTTACAAGGCAGATAATACAATATTTTATACAGTGTGATTTTAATATATCCCATTTCTACTTAAATATCTTTTAACACTCTCATTTCTTCTCTTTAAATTTAGTCATCCTATTCATATTTCCCTCTGTCTTGTTTGCAATTATTCTCCTCCCGCTTTCCTCCAAGGTTTTATTAAATCTCAGATAAACATACACACACAAAACACATAAAGTAAAACTTCTTTTTCAAAAAAGTAGCTTGGCCCCGGATTACCTCTCTTTGTATGGACTTCAATTAAATTCATATTCATCTTATATGCCATTACCTATCTTAATTACCATTCTGTGTCTTCTTTATAACTTCTCCCCGCTTTCCACTCTTCTTAATTCTATTTTGTTTATTATCTTAATTTAAATCATTATATTTCTATCCTTTGTCCATTCTTTTCCAATTGTCTATTTATCTCATTCCCCATAATAAAATAAAAGAATTTCTCCTGAAATCACAAATCAAAGTATGATGCCTTTCCATCGCACCTCTAAATTAACATTTAAGGTAACACCAAGTTCCCTATCTGATTCTGCTTAGTACATACTACTTACAAAAAGAAAATAGTAAATCCATAACATAATTAAATATATAATTAAACATTAAATCTCATAACATTCCAATTATCTATTTCAAAAACAAATATTACAATAATATATTCATACTAACATCCACACAATAGTCAATTAAGATCTATATTTAAACTAAGTATTTTATTTTATTAAATCTTAAATTCTACCATTATTAAACCTTTAATATTTTAGTCTTTACTCAAGTCTTATAAAATTATAATTTTCTATTTCTAATACAAATACTACAATACTATCTTATGTACCTTGCAGAATCCTTTTAAAACAAAATTATATTACCCTTTGTCCCTGAAAAACAATTTCTTTTTCGCATCTTGTTTCATACCCTTGTGGCCTTTTTCCCCCTTCTTCCTCCCTGTCTTATCCCATCTGGTCTTTTTACCCCCCTTAACTTCCCCTCTCTGTTGTATTTCTCTTTCCTTTTGCTTTCTAGCCTTGTATTGATTTTGCATCTTATTTTTCACTTTCTTAGATATTTTTTTAAGTCTTATATCCTTTTTTTCCCCTCTCTTTCTCCTTCCTTTCTTAATCAACTCTGTGGGTTCGTTAAAGATGGCTTCTTCTTCTTCTTCTTCTTCTTCCATCAGTTGTTGTATTTGCTGATAAGT